GGGCCACCGCTTGACCTTGTCAGCCGCATGCAGGTCGATGGTCGGCGACTTGGTGTTGAGAAGCTTGTGGAACCACCGTGCCCACCGTTGGCGAATAAACGTGGGGTCCCGAAGGACCTTGCCGTCCTCGTCCTTGATGTTCTGAGAGGTGAACGACCTCTTACCTTCGACGTCGATCATCTTCAGGTGCCTGTAGAAACCGCCTACTCCCCCTCGCGGCTCTTCATCTCGAGCTGCCGTACATAGACCTCGAAGAACGTTTCCAGTGCTCTCCACCTCGCGATGCTGCGCTTCTTCCGCGCCGCCTTGAGCATCGCCTTCAGGGTCGCCTCGAAGGCGATGTTCGTTGAGGCCCCACGCAGCTGCTGCTTAGTCGCCTTAACCTCCTTAGACACTTCGGAGATCTCGTGCTGCGCTTCGCTCGTGTACCAGCCTCTCTGCCCTCGTGCGCACCTCGCCAGCGGCGCGATCTCAGCAGCGGCCGACATCACCGTAGCCGTCAGCTCGGCGGCGGTCTCTCCCGTTGGCCGCCTGAGCGCCGTGGGCGGAGGGCGGCTGGAGGCCCTGTTTTGGAAGGCGTCCCGTAGGTGTTTGTCCTTCCTCAACCGCTCGAGGTCGATACGGATCCGGCTGCTTCCGCTGTTCCCCCGCACTCGTCGGTTGGGTGCGACACGGGGGGGGAGGCGGACAGTCGTAAGCACGAGGTTGTGGTCAGAGTCTTTGAAGTCGACACGTTTGACGGAGACATGACGCACAAAACGCCGGTCCGTCTAACGCATGAGGATGAAGTCGAGGCGGTACTTCTCCTTNCACCGCCCGCGGTGGTGCGGACAGTTTCCGTGGGGGCGTACCCCACCACGAAAGTTACTCCGCAGGTGCGGCCAATTTGCAGGCGCACCTTCATCAGCCTCGGGCTAATGCACTCCACCGTCCTACCTTCCTCGCCCACACTCTCCCACATGGCCTCCTTGATCGCTATGCCCACACCGTGTACGCCCCTCTTGTCCTTGGTGCCAGCACGGGCGCCACTCCAGATGATCACGTACCCGTCGTGTGCAATTGAACCTTGCCCCTCTCGTCGGGTCTCCTGAAGTCGTATCACATCACAGCCGGTCGCCGAAGAAATCTGTGGTGTTTTGACCAGGAGGGTGCAGCACTCCCTCCCCGCGGTGTTGTGTGTATTCGTGTCCTCTTGTTCCTCTGAGGCCTAGCGTCTCCTGGGCATCCCGGGTGTGAAGAGTGGCCTTGGCGTGATATGTGCCGGTATGGCAGTATGGCCTGTTGGGGCTGTTGCTGCAGACAAGACCTCTTCCGAAGACTACGGGCGTTAGATCCAGGCTCCTAGATAATTTTGAGTTTGAGAGAGAGTAAGAACCTTTTCGGGGACCCTCCTGGCGGTTTCCCGGGGGTTCGATCCGTTTGGATGTTTGAACTATGTTGTTGTTGTTGTCTTCACATTAAACCGTATGTCAGTTGCTAAATGCCAAAATCTAGCAAAAGACTATCAGCCCGTGGTCACGAAAGTGCTAGAGCCATCTGAGGATCTAAAGAACACGCACACATATAACGAGAAAAATGTATCCAAGAGCCCGAAGAGGTACACCTAAAAATCCCTGCAGCACCGTATGGGTGCCCAAAAACTGAACTGCACGTCCGTCCCACCGTTCGACTACAGTAGCACCACCCCCTCCCTGTCCCACTTTGTACCAAAAACGGAAGATTGCCGACTACAGCATACTGCTGTCTGAAGTGCTGTCTGTACAAAAACACCCATGGTAGGCATGGAACAAGCAGCTGGCGGGGCACAAAGCTGCTGTCTGAAGTGCTGTCAGAATGTGTCTGCGGCCGTACCGTGAAAAAGAACAACCAACCAAAGCCATCATAACAGCAATTGACAATCACCCGAATCTCTCCCGATCGTCTGTGTAGGCACTGCAGTGAAAAATATCGACACTAGCTAAGAATCGTTCCACATTGAAGGGGTCTTCCACGATCAGGCACAAAACCGATGCACCCGGGTTAGCCACGCCATCTCTGACGGGTCTCTCTACAAAACCGGTGACGATGTCATCACACAAAACCAACACGGAAAGTCAGAAAAAAAACGAAAAAAATTGACAACACAGATAGAAATGTTTGTCCGTGCGCCACGGGTCGATGTCGCCCGCATGCTCCGGTGCCA